TGTATGTGTGTGTGTGTGTTTATCTGTATGAATGTGTGTGTAGGTGTGTGTGTGTGTTTATCTGTATGAATGTGTGTGCGTATGTGTGTGTGTGTGTTTATCTGTATGAATGTGTGTGTGTATGTGTGTGTGTGTGTTTATCTGTATTAATGTGTGTGTGTATGTGTGTGTGTGTTTATCTGTATGAATGTGTGTGTGTGTGTGTGTGTGTGTTTATCTGTATGAATGTGTGTGTTTTATCTGTATTAATGTGTGTGTGTATGCGTGTGTGTGTTTATCTGTATGAATGTGTGTGTGTGTGTGTGTTTATCTGTGTGAATGTGTGTGTGTTAATGTGTGTGTGTGTGGCTAGACGTAGAGGTGGGCTAACCTTAGCAGTGTGTATATAAGCAGTACCACTGACACGCCACTGTGTGTGTGCATGAAGGTTGTATAAAAGTGTGTGTATATGTACGAATGTATGTGTGTATAAATGTGTGTGTGTGTGTTAGACGTATAGGTGAGTTATGCTTTGCAGGGTGAACGCCAGTGGGTATTGGTAGTACAATATTCATGTCAACATATATCTGCTGTCGCTATGCATCGCTATGCATTGTTAAAGCAATTAAGTCCACTAAACTGTTCTTCGTCTCAGACTTTGTCCGTGTACTAGTCCTCGTGTCCTATTTACAGACTCTATTAATAGATTGTGTGACACTATACTGCTTGACACTCTGAATCTGACATCTCTTCTGACGACGTTTACGTTTTTACTTCATTCCGTCGACAGGGCGTGGATGCCGAGGAAAGCTTTGAATCCGTTATACCAGCGGTGTGTGTTCTGTCGCATTATATTACTTATATACTGCGTGTGTATGTTATGTGTGTGTATAGTTGTTTCATACCACTTATTGTGTGGCTATTCATGCCTTTAGCAGTAGTGTTGCCTCGTCTGTGTGATGCATATATATAAGCTGCTATAGTATATACACTTTAAAGTGTATCTAATTGATTTATTGTAGCATACCTAACCTCTTGCAAGTTTGTCCGAGTGTATCTTATTCTGATACCTTCAGAGTCGTATGCGTGCAGTCATGGGCCTTAGTGCTGGTTTGTATATGTAAACCTAATACACTTGTTACCAACCCAACCCCACAAATAACAAAGCTCAACCCCTCGGATTCAAGCGCACCTACACTTCACATATCCTGAAGCACACCTGTATGTGTATATCTGTATGTATATACAAGAACACATAAGTGTACATGTACAGTACATAGTACAATAAAATAGTGTCTCTACCCTATTGAGCGTTTGCGTTGTCAGAATCAAACTTGGTACGTTTTTAAGATTTGATTACATCTATTTAATTGTGTTTAAGTATTTGTATATCCACATATTTCTGTATGTATGTGTGTTAGTACATATATTTCTATATTTCTATTTCATTAATATATTATATCCATGTATATATGTATATATA